GATAATCCGGGTATCCGAATAGTGGCGTTAGGCCACCCGCGGTTTTCCTGGCCAGTTGCATTCACATGTATAAGTACCTTGTGCGGTTTGCCATCGAGATGCGCATCAGGCCCTTCACGTGACGTCGCCCCTCGTATTCTCCTCAACGGCGTCATGGAGCAGATCGTTACAGCACGCAAGCTGGTCATGAGCCCCTCCACGACGCCTTTTCTGCCCGATGGGTTTGACCTGGCGTCTTCAGCCTGGCCAGTCCAATTCTTCGGCTTTTCTTGGACACCGCCTCAAGACTCTCTGTGCGGCCAAAGTGCCAAACGACCCACTTGTTTACCTTGACAACGGGGCGGTCTAAGCAGTAGACCACTTCCATGGAGCGTTCGGCGACACGCCTGCATCCACTGAACCCATCGAGAGAAGCACTGTTCCCCCGTCTGTGACTGCGTGTTAAGCCTTTATTTGCTCCGCTGCACGGTCGCTGCGCCGGTCCGCCGCTTGCCTACTTGGCTACATGATGGGGTCGATTCCTCCAGCCTTGTTGTGCAGAAAAGTCCTTACTACATAAAGATGACGCCGGATCCCTCTTCCCCTTCAGCTCCTCCGTCGCCACGTTTTGTCGATGGCTACTTTCCTCCACAACCTCCTCCACAAATGGCTGTCGACACCGATTCAGTCCTGAGATTGATCCAGCAACTCGAAGTCGACCGGGAGGCTTACCTGTCTACCTTCGAGAGGGTTCACGAGACTCTGGTACAGGCTCTACATCAACAGCCCGCCCGGCCTCTAACCAGCCCGCGACAGACCATCACCTCTCTTCCGTTGTCTTCGTCTCCCGTTTCTCTGCCGACTTCTGAGGTTGGCCCGCAAGCGGCGGCCGTCCCGAAGAGACAAGCCAGTCTGAACAGTCACCACTCCACCCCAAGTAGCCATGTTCTCGAACAATTCCACCCGGTACGCCAACCGAAAGAGTCCATATACACGGGAGACGACAGCTCCGACAGTGATGACGACGAGTCATACTTTGCACAGGAGCCACTGCCTCCAAGGGACTTTTCGGAAAGTGATTTGATCGAACATTTAAAGACCCACTCGTGGGATATTTACAGTAAATATATTCTGCAGGATCTTCTCCGGAACATGAACCTGCTTTCGAACGGCATTTTCCTCAAGGACCGGCATCATCAGACCGACGCCAACCATCAGCATGCAGATATTTACCACGTGGGTGCCGATGGCTCGCCCCTACGGTTTTCTCGAGGTGATTCCGATGAAGGACCTTTGGCGGCGTGGGAAGCACTGAAAAGCACCAACTGGGATACGTCGAGGAAACAAGCTGTAGGGCGAATCATCGTGGTCCGAGAGCCAGCCTCGAGTCTTTTCGCCGCCCTGCACCTCACCATGAGTGAATACTTTGACATGGATTCCATTTTCCGCATGATGATCGACGATCACACGCCGACCAAGGCCTTCACAAAGGGATACTTGAAGGAGGACCATCGCCGACAACGATCAGTGGTGTTCGTATTCAAGTACCACACCATCGTGGGGGAAGGGCGTGCTCCGCTTCATTGGCAGAATCACGACGAAAATCCCGACACCGAGGATGGCCATATCCCACTGACAACGTGTTCGTCCGTCGTCGCTCTCTCGCTTGCTGGCAAGCCCACTTATACCCTCCGGCGCAATTCTCGAAAGAACAAATCTGTCATTGGGCACGTTTACGATCCGTTCGCACCTTGGCACGTCCTTACGATACAGTGCTTCCCGGACTGGAATTCCAGCGTGGATACACATGATCATAACCACCATTATTGCAATGGTCCCGATGCCTTTTTGACCAGCGTGCTTTCGGAATACAAAGACGCAAGCAAGAGGTTCAAGGTTATCCACAAGGCCATCCAAGAACTGGCGACGCCACCGAACAAATCAATCTTCGACAGCGCCCTCCGAGACGAACTTCTCTTTGAAAACAACAAGTTCACCTACTCGCGGCGCTATTTCTGGGCCTCACAGACCCTTGGCCTGCTAAGCAACGAGATCAAGGACATGATAACGACTTACAGGGACACCTTCACGGACGAGTTCTGGTCGGGAGAGCACAAAACGCTATTTCCAGGCACCAAGGACCAGTCGCCACGGTACAACAATTGGAGGAAGAAACTGGTATATACACGAAAACAATTCGAGAAGGAGATTTCTCAGCTGGAGGAGGTTTTGCGGATCTTCCAGGAACAGCAAAAGCAGATTAAAAACCTGCGAGAGTGGCTTTTCAGTGGAACGTCGGTCCTGGAAAGCAGGGAGGCTGTCAGTATGGCGAAGATCACCGTCGAACAAGGCTACAACATCCGGTTGTTGACACTGGTCACGTTGTTCTATTTACCGTTGAGTTATGTCACCGGGATTTACGGGAGTATGTGATTTCTACCTCGCATCCTTTCTACATCGGCAGTCCTTTGATTGTCATGGCCGTCGCATAAAGTCCGATTGATGCTGACCTTATCACAGTGACGAACATGCCTCCAAACGACTCCTTCCTTCCCTTCGCGATGACAACGCTAGGGATCTGTATACCCACTTACCTGCTGATCGTGATCGTGAATAACCCCAATGCCGTCAAAAGGATTCTGGCCAATATGGGCCTCTTCTTCACGAAACTGGTCTCCATTCCTGCCCCGAAGAAGTCCGAGCAGCTCAGGGAAAAGATCTTAGAGAGTAAAGCTATCCACAAGGAAGAAAAGGAGCCCACAATGCAGAAGGTTGCGACTTTCGCCAGCCTCGAGGCTCGACTATCTATGGACTTAGGCCATGAACCTTCATTGCGAGGGTCTCATGGGTTTTCGCAAGCTACTCGTCGTATGTCTTACTCTATCGGCAGCTACCTCCCTGGCATAGCAGCACGACAAGCCTCGCATACCATGGCTCGATCACTGCCCCGGTTGTCCCCCTTCCCGGAGGAACCCACGATTCCTCAGAGAACCAGCACGGTCAAATTCGACGAGCCTTTCTCGAGCTCGATGAAGTGGCAAAATGGAGACTCGACGCGGACCAGAGCCCCGAATTTTGAGAAGTCATCTTCGAATCACTCCAGTATATCCCCGACAGAGAGCCCACCTTATCCTGCCGTTGTCGTGCGATCACCCAACGGCTCAACCTTGTCGTCTCCCTCAAGCACAACGCTGAAACCGCCTGAATGGCACAGAGAAAGGAGCGTCAGTCCCAGAAGCGGGCCCAGAGGAAGCAGATTCCTATTCGGGAGACTCGGCAGTCGACTTTCGTCCGCACTGCCGTCGCCGAGGTCGTCTCAACCGGGAAGTCCCATGGAAAATGTCTAGTATCGACAGGGATGAAGATGAAATACCTAGGAGGCACGTCATACTCGATCAACACGTCGGTTACAAGCAACATGTGTCGTGCCGGGAGAACTTTGGAGAGGGGGATGCTAACAGAGTACAAACGAACGATAGTTATGGGATGAAAAAGCAGTCGCAGACCAATAGCTCGGTATGGATGATGAGATGAGCTTGCACAAAGAACAAAAGGCGGAAGTCACTTTACGAATAATGAAAAATGAAAACGACATCATGATGTACAGAAGTGGAAAGAGATGATGAATGGGTTAATCCTCCATCCCCAGTTTGGGAACGACTTGAATCTTTGGCGGACCATTCTTTTGGCCAAATGTTAGCCGGCAAGGGAGGCCGGTATTCGATGAGGGGTGTGTCTGTGTTCAAGTCCCTCGAGAGCGCACAGCGACCGGGCAGAAAGCAGGAAGCAGGAAGCAAGAAGCGAGCAGAATCAGCAAAGGATACCACCCCAGCACCGCGCCGCATTCTGGGACAAACGGCCCGTGTCTTTCTTTCTGGTCCGAGCTCTACACGGGGGATGTCAAGAGACAAAACAACAAGCAATCGACAAAGCAACAAAATCCTGCACGTTAGGGATCATCGAGCGAAGGAGTTGAGGACGGATCTTTTTCTGGGGGTTTCCGAGTTACTTGTGCCGGTTTCCAGACGGATTTCCCTCACGGGACTACAGGGACTGAGAAGAGTGCGCGTGTCGAGAGCGTATATATAAAAAGTGAGGATGTCATTTGATGCTGGGGAAAAAAGATATGAGACGCTGCTAGTGGTCATGATGATGACGAGGAGGTGTGTTGAAGAAAACATGTACCCGGCCGGTGTGCACATGATGTACATATGATATACGATGGATGGCATGCCAGTGGCCACCTACCCAATCGACAGTATCAAGCTTTTTAGCCATTGGACACACTACACGCTAATGATTGATTCCTCAGCTGGAGCACAGTGCCTCTTGGTGTCCTTTTTTTAGTCCTGTTTCTGGGTATCCTTGTATTTTGAAATCCGCTCGTGACTCTTCATTACGTCCCAGGTTTTAATGAACCATTTTCTGTCTATCAATTTGACAGATGCCCGCAAATGCGCCAGACCCAGACCTGCGGATCCGCAGGTAGACACCGAGCCGTAATCAAACAAGCACCAGAAAACCCCACAAAAGCCGGGACACCGCCGTGAGATACTATGCACAGCAGAATAAGGAAACAAAGAGGAAACCAGAAGAGGAGGGTAATTGAGGTATGGACATCGTTTCGTTTTCCTGCGGGAGCTGACATAGTCGAAATCTGCTCGGTCGAGAAGGTGATTCTGCGCCGTCATCTCTTTGGGACAATGAGGTAGCGTTGGCTAGCGAAAATTTGATACTCAGGCTGATATTCCGTTCAATTGGCTTTCTTCGGGTTTTGGGACGAAAGTTGACAGCCCACTTCTCGTGGCACCTCATCTCAGTCGTACACGACGAGCCCGTCTCGTAACGTAGGTAAAAGGTGCGTGGTCAAGGTCATTCGATGCAGCTTGAAGTATGACTCGTGAGGCTATTCGTGCAAAGGCGTGTCGAGTTCCATCCTCTGCCGAGTAGCTCGGATGGCATCAGAAGAGTCCCATATCATTGGGCGAGGCGTGGGCAGATTGGATCGAGCTACCGAACAATCAGATCTTGACGTGCCTTCCCTCTCGCTCCACCACTTTAACAAGGCTCTTGTATGTGTCTTCCCAGCTCTCCTTCTCGTCGCCTTCCTCTTCGATCTTTTTCTCCTTGCCATCCTTTGCAGCTTTCTTCCCTGCATCCCTGCTGACCATCACGACGCTGGTCGGCCGCTTCGTCTGACCTGCCGTGCCCAGCTCCGCGCGACTCGTCACGTAGATGTAGGGGACGCTGTGGTCTTCGGCCAAAACAGGGATGTGAGAGATGACGTCCATAGGGGAGATGTCTGCCGCAAGGACCACGACGCCGAGAGGGAGCTTATCGGTCGAGGTGGTCGGGGATTTTCGGAGGGCCTTGACGACTTCTTTGACGCCACGTCTCAAAGTACGTTGCGAGGCAGCTGTGAAGATCCCTCGAGTTAGCAAGACCGGGTCAAATGAGAACCAAAATTTACAGCACGGGTATGGGTCAGAGCGCGCACAACTCACCTTTTTTGACGCATTTGAACACCTTCTTTGCAACTTTTTCGTCTGCCAATGGGTTCGCAAAGGGCACTAAAGCCCCCACAGGCCGTGCAGCGAGAATGTTCTTCTTTTCTGAGTCTGCCTTGGCCTTTTTCGGCTTCTCATCCTCGTCCTCGGTCTCGCCGTCGCTGTCCTCCCCCTCGACTTTCACGCCATTTTGCTCCTCCATCTCGTCGTCTTCTTCCTCGCCGCTTTCGTCATCGTCCTCTTCGTCCTTGACTTCTGCCTTCTTCTTGTTGCTTTTGCCTTCAAGCTCATTCAAGGCCTTCTCCGCTAGCACCTTCCTCGCTGCTTTCTTCTCCTTATTCTCCCCCTTTGATTTTGTCACTCCGGTTGGCGCCGCTCCGCTAGCTTTTGTCGTTGCAGCCGCCTGCTTCTTTGCGACTTTTTCCGCTTTGCGAGCCTCTTTCTCGGCTTTGCGCTCGGCCTTGCGCTCCGCTTTGGAGTCTTTTTTGGAGGCGCCTGATTTATCTTTCGCCATCTTAACTCTTTTTCACACGACGTTTGAAGTAGAAGATGTTCGTGGATGGTTTCGTAAGGATTTCTTCGGAGAAGCACTGCAGAGATAGCAAGGATGCTGTCGGCTTGGTCCTCGACGTCGAGATCTAGTGGTGTCGACAAGAATTCTCAATTGACTCGCACCAAAAGACAAAGATCGAGGTTTGAAGCCCGGCGCACGGACTTGCTACTACGCCTCGGATGCTGCGGGTTTTTTCAACTCAAGAGTTCCGTGCAGGTCAAGGAGAGATATTTAGGACGTTGTAGGGGAAAATTAGCTAAGCCGTGCTGAGAGACATCAGAAATGAAGCAAATAAAAATTATTTTGGCTTTCTCCGCACTTTGGACTACGAGAGCTGTACGAGGGCCCAGCGCGGGTGGCAGGGCGCTTTCCCGCTGCTTTTTGGTGACCCGTCGCGCAGTGCCAAGACTCGTCTCAGAGGGCAGATGAAAATTGCACATGTCTGGTCACTACAGAGCGGCGTGATCTTTTGCGCATAGAGCCCTTCACAATTAGTCGGAGAGCTCTTGAGCTGTTACTGACATCTATACTGACCAGGTCCATCCAGTATGGATCAATGGAGCAAGTCGTATATTGACTGAGTTTTTTGTTGAGAACGGGGCCACCCGATACATTTCAAGCAGCGACCTTGACCAACGGCCAATGTATAAGGCTGGCATTGAATGATGAGCTGTGTTACAAAAGAGCATTCGGAAATGCCATGCTCTCCCTCATTTAAACAATTCTCCAAGCTAGGGTGTTAGTCCGCATATAGGTCTTCTCCTACTTCATCTCCATGACCCCCATCCTTCAAACATTTCTGGTAACATGATGTGCGGCCACCTCCGTACGAAGTGGATTTTGACTATTGAGGAACGTGTACGTTGCCCTTGAGATCTAGGCCGAGCTTCCCTCATTTCAAAATAACCTCATGATGGTAGTGTGGGTGTATTGCGTCAGCCTTGTCATGACAACTATACACAGGTTGGACGGGCGTATGAAATATCTCGCATGATACCAAGGTGAAATATAGCTGGGTTACATCCTTCCACTCGTCGCTAGAACAAATGCTCCGGTTTCTATCACATACGAAAGTTTTCTTCGGGACACAACATTCTGCAGCGACGAGGATTCAGGCACACCAGCTTGGCTATCCTCCAGGCAGCCACCCAAGACTCTCTTGCACGACAACATTGGGGTTGTTGAGTATTTTGCAGCCAATCATGGTCGCTAAAGACTCGGTTCCAGGCGAGTAAAGTTTCCTGGCGTGACACCGCCATGATCTCCGTCCCTTCCACGGACAAAGATAGGGTAGTAAAGACGGTCCAAGTTTCATCCGAAAGCACCGTGCGCCACTTGTTGTCGCTATCTGTTCAGCTACAGGCATGTAGACATATTGTGGGTGAATCCCACAAGTTTCCCTTCTTCGCAGTACTGATACTTTGTTCCGTCAACTCACCACCAGCCATTAGACGTTCGGCGCGACTGAATAGTTTCAAATAACTTGCGTGATCAGGCAGATCGACTGATTTGCACAGACCATTACATTCCTGTCCCTGGTCAACACCACTTTCACCAGCCATGGCCGAAGAATACAACTTCAAGCTTGATATCGGGCTCTCCCTGCGAACCTTCCTCCATTCTCAGTTCTTCGGGACACCGCCTTATCCGACACAAACTTTCTCCGGCCAGGTCGTCATCGTCACCGGCTCCAATGTTGGGCTAGGATTCGAGGCTGCCCGACATTTCTACCGCCTCAACTGTGCGAAATTGATTCTGGCCGTGCGCACCATCTCCAAAGGTCAGACTGCAAAGGAGGAAATCGTTCGGAGTGTGAAACACCGCTCCGATGGGGCAGAAGCTATCGAGGTCTGGCCTTTGGACCTTACCAGCACAGAAAGTACCCTGGCGTTTGCAGATCGTGTCAAGAAAGAGTTGACCCGTGTCGATGCTGTCGTGGAGAATGCCGGTATCAACAACATGAGCTGGGCAGTTTCCGAAGGATTCGAGCAGACCATCCAAGTTAATGTTGTCAACACTCTTCTGCTCGGTCTGTCCGTGCTACCCAAATTGAGGGAAACCAAACGCCAATTCCCCGAGTCTAACCCTCACTTGGAGATTGTCAATTCCGAGGCTCATCGGTTTTCGAGTTTCAAAGAAGTCAATGCTCCAGATATCTACGCGACGCTGAACGACGAGAAGAGTGCCGACATGCTGAGCAGGTAAGTGTCTGTTGGGGCGCAAATGGACTGGCCTCTTTCTTTTCTGCACCTCCCAATCACACTAGGCTCACAGAACATGGTATAGGTATCCGGTCAGTAAACTCATCGGCGTGCTCTTTATTCGCGAGCTGGTTTTGCGCCTCCAAGAGCGAGACAAATCCGGCAGCTCGACAGAGCCGCCGGTCACTATTACCCTGGTCAATCCGGGCTTGTGTGTGTCTGAACTGGATAGAAACGCGCCACTCGCAGGCCGGATCGCGATGTACATACTGCGCATGATCCTCGCAAGATCAACAGAAGTGGGTTCTCGTACCCTGGTCTATGGCGCGTGCGCCGGACCAGGCTCTCATGGGCAGTTCATGTCGGATGGCAAGAACCAAGATGTGGAGAGATGGATATACTCAGACCTAGGCAAGAAGGCGCAGTCCAAGGTGTTTGAGCAGACGATGAGAGTGCTGGAGGCTCGAAAGCCGGGTATTGGTGCCGAAGTCGGCTTGTCGACCTGATCACCGTCCGTGCAAGATGTGTTTTCATTTGATATTTGCTCACGATATCATCGAGGCGGGCGTCAGCCGACTGGAATAGATGGGTTGAGATTTGCTCCTGTCTCCAACTGCACTAAAAGAAGCAAAGGGTAGAAGTGGTCTGCGTCAGTGAGTAAAACCACAGAATGAGGACGCCATATTTTCGTAATACAGCGCCGTGGGGGAGAATTGCTGTAAAGGAAAAAAATATCTGCCTAGAATGATAAATCCCATACTGACCTGCCTTTGTCAGCCTCGCTGCATATGCTAGCCTTGCGTGCCTTTGTCAGCCTCGTGTCAGGTTTTCTCAAGGCAGGGGTTCTCTTCCACTATAAACAGTTTAGCGCAGGCTTGGCGCGACTCCAAGTTCCTCCCCTTCTGTTTCTTCAGCTGCACCCTGAACCCATCATCCAGTCGCATCGACTACAGTCTCCATAGGAAGCGCATGATCAGGTGTCGTGTCTCTTCCACTACTCTCACTTTGACGCTGCACCCAAGATGTCGTGGCGCAATCAAGGCATCACAGGTTCTAACAACATCCCCCTCGGAACGCGTCGTCGGTTTGGAGGCGAAGGCAATGGTGACTCGCAAAATGACAGCTCTGCAGACTCTCCAGCCTGGGGTGACTCGAGCAAGCGTGGGCGCAGTCCTGCCAGAGGTTCGTGGCTAAATAATGAGTACATGCTCCCGACTAACAAGTTTACAGCTGAACCTGAGACCGACGGCGTGAAGAGGCGTAGAAAGCGCAATCGATGGGGTGAAGCCGGCGAAAACAAGGCGGCAGGCCTCATGGGCCTCCCAACGATGATTCAGGCGAACATGACAGCAGAACAACTCGAGGCATACGCCCTTCATCTCCGTATCGAAGAGATCAGCCAGAAGTTACGGATCAACGATGTCGTTCCCGCGGAAGCAGACAGGTGAGTCGGCACCCGCGTCCCCCTTTTTTCGTCTGGTCCCTAACAACATCAGATCCCCGTCGCCCCCGCCTCAGTACGATAACTTCGGCCGTCGAGTGAATACTCGCGAGTTCCGCTACCGCAAGCGCCTGGAAGAAGAGAGACACAAATTGATTGAAAAGGCCATGAAGACCATCCCCAACTATCATCCGCCTTCTGACTACAGGCGCCCGACCAAGACACAGGAAAAGGTCTACGTGCCGGTCAACGATTATCCCGAGATCAACTTCAGTATGCTTACTAACCCTATAACTCTGCTACAAACCCCCTTGCTTTGCTCGTTGTTCCACATGCTGTCGTCTGCTCTTCGAGATCCAGGAGGTAGACGTAGCATCCTGCACTAACCATTATCATTATTTCCATTTCCCTGAGACACTTTTCTGCTTTCGAGAACTCCACACTAACACTTAGCTTCTTTTTTGCAAAGTCGGACTACTTATTGGACCTCGTGGCAACACTCTCAAGAAGATGGAATCCGAATCAGGAGCCAAAATCGCCATTCGAGGCAAAGGCTCTGTCAAAGAGGGCAAAGGACGATCTGACGCAGCTCATACTAGCAACCAGGAAGAAGATCTACACTGTCTCATCATGGCAGACACGGAAGAGAAGGTCAACAAGGCCAAAGCGCTGATTCACAACGTCATCGAAACAGCCGCATCCATCCCCGAAGGACAAAACGAACTGAAGAGGAATCAGTTGCGCGAATTGGCGGCGCTCAATGGTACTCTGCGTGACGATGAGAATCAAGCATGCCAGAATTGTAAGTGCATCCCCCTGTGCGATAGAGTTGCTCTTACTGACCTGACCAGGCGGACAAATCGGCCACCGCAAGTATGACTGCCCCGAGCAGCGTAACTTCACAGCCAACATCATCTGTCGAGTCTGCGGTAACGCTGGCCACATGGCGAGGGACTGTCCAGACCGACAACGTGGGACCGACATGCGGAACAATATCCCTGGAGGATATGGAGGACCGCAAAGACGACTAGGCGCTGCAGACGCCGTCGACCGAGAGATGGAGGTACGTTGTACGAGGATTTTGTTATGATCGCGCTCTCTGACACCTGACAGAATCTGATGCAAGAGCTTTCTGGAAACCCATCCGGCAATGGCCCTGCGGGTCGCATCGAGGCTGCACCTGGGGGCTATGATCAGGGCGACTCGTATGCAGCTGGAGGCGGAGGTGATTCGCGTCCTTGGGCACGTCAGCCGACTGGTGGTGTTGCTCCTTGGCAGCGAGACCGACAAGAACGACAGGAGAGAGACTACGGCCAAAGAGAGTATGGTCAACGTGGTTACGACAATCGTGATTATGGCCACCGAGACGGCGACTCGTCGGCTCCTCCATGGGCCAGAGTCGAGGAGATGCTAAAGGCGGATATGGTGCTGCACCTGCGCAAGCATCAGCCCCCTGGCAGCAACCACAACAAGCACAACAGCCACCTCCTGCGCAAAACTACGGATATGGTGGCTATCCTGGCTATGATGCTCAACCAGGATACGGCGTGCCTCCTCCGCCAGCTCCTCCTGGACTCAGCTCTTTCTTGCAGCAGTACGGGGGCGCTGCTGCTCCCCCTCCACCTCCCGACGCACAGGCTCCTCCTCCACCGCCAGATCAACCCCCGCCACCCCCAGGCGTGCATGAGTACTATCCACCACCTCCTCCTTCGGCGTAATGGATTGGACGATGCATCGGGTTTGGCTCAGATTGCAAAGGGACCTGAACGTGAGATTGGAAATGATAGGGCGAGTGAGTGGGAAATACAGGCTGGGCAAAAAATTGGATTGAAATTATGGTGACTGCAATTGCTTTTCACATAGTAGCTTGGGGGGAGGACGAGGTTGTTGTGGTTTTGTAAGAAGTACTAGTCATTACCAAGGCTTGAGATTGTTCTGTATTCGCTCTTTGCGATCTCGCACTTTAACACTTTGGCCACTTGCAGGCTGCAGCGAGGCTTCGATTTTGGTCGAAACATTGGACCAATGGCAGGGGACGGAATCGGCATGGCCCAACCGCGCTCTTGGCATTGAATGGACGTCTCGCCGGCTTCAAAGTTCGATCCAGTTCCTCTGCCACTCCTCTTCCTCGCCATTTTTTCCATCTCACACACATATCTCATCGATCTCTCGTCCTCCCTCGACTTCCACAGATCAGACTCGACTCGGACCGCTCGTTCACCAGAAGAACACCGCAAAAATGCCTCGTTCTCGTGGAGGTGCTTCCCGACCTGCTCCGTCGCGACCGACAGCTCCGTCTGCGGCACCTCGGTCTGTAGCGCCACAGCAGCAGCAACGTCCTATGACTACGACTGCCCCGAGTGCACCCGCACAGCATGCTCCTCCTCCTGTTCAAGCATCTCAGGGCCCCGGGCTCTTTGGTCAGATGGCCAGCACTGCTGCGTGAGTGAATTCGCTTCCGCCCCCATCATCCTGGAGTTCCCACACGAGTTATGCATCCGCCGGGGTGTATGTACTTCGAACGGGGATCGGGTTCTAAAAAGAGAGGGGAGCAATTGTCTCCATTGTCATACACTTACTGACCCGTGCGTGAAACTCTAGTGGCGTCGCAGTTGGATCCTCCATCGGCCACGCCATCGGTGGTCTTTTCAGCGGTGGCGGCGGCTCCTCCTACTCTGCGCCTGCGGAGCAACAACAGCAACCCACCGACGCCTACGCCCGGACCGGTGATGCCATGCCCAACGCCCTGTACAGTCAATCGAACTCGGCCGCCGAGGCCACGGGCCCTTGTGCCGCTGACATCAAGAGCTTCACCGACTGCATGAACCAGAACCAGGGTAACCTGACCATTTGCGGATGGTACATGGAACAACTCAAGGCTTGCCAGCAGGCTGCGAGGCAATACTGAGGGGCATCCCCTCCCGGCCTTGGGTCGGTAACTCGGCAGGGAATGAGAGGAATAGATCAGACATATGCATCGGCACGAGGAAACACTGTAAATATGTATCATGGTGGATACCTCTCTGACAGGGCAGAGTCTTCAAGAGAGAGAAAACTTTGTCACTTGCATTGGCATAGCGTGGTTACATGTTCGAATAGAAACCCGGGGAAAGATTGTCCAAAGGTTTCCCCTTTGCTAAAAAATTGATATCAAAAGTTTCTCCACTCAGAAATCAAGAGGTCCATGTTGCGTGGTGATTTTTGGTACCTCATTTTGGGAGCTCAACTCCGCGTCCGCAGTCAGATGGGTATTATTGATCTTTACCTCCCTGATCCTCTAATGCTTGGTACTGTGGTGCTTGATCCTTTGATGCTGCGACGAAATGCTATCAGTCGTTCGATCGATACCCTTAACCCATGCCCTACTTGTATCGTAGACTTTGTCGCACACACTCGCGCACTCTCTCACATAGTCGATTAGTCTATTATGCCGATCGTGGCTGCACGGGCTGATGGGGGCTAATCGGTCTTTGACAAGGAGAACAGAATCATACATGTAAGGTTCAAGGGGGTTTCGTGGTCAGAAGGGTTCATGTCCATGTCTGGGAAAGGAATGAAGGAGAAGGAGGGTGGGAGAGAGACACCAGAGACACCGGAGACATCGGAGCAGAGGGTCATCGTGCTACGAGAACATTGACCGGTTAACCGATTAACTGGCTGACTGACGCCCAGATAGCCATATAGCCAGGTAGTCAATATAGCCAGATATCTTGAAACCCAGCCAGACACCCAGCGAGTAGTATTACAAGATATGTACCCCCTCTGGAACCCCGAGGTTTATCGATGCGCAGCTCGACAAGGACTGATTGTGATTGTTGATTGTGATTGCCTTTGCCTCACCTATTCATCAGGACCCGTAGGCGAATCATCTCATCTCCTCGCATCTGATTCCGAAAGCGCACGTAGAGGACGACACCGCAACTGAGCAAGCCAGCGAGCGAGCGAGCGAGCGAGTGAAGAGGGATGGATAGTCAGCAGAAAGTACGCAGACAGGGTTCAGTATGTCTCTTGATCCCATGGTCCCCTGCTCCGTTTTGAGAGATGGGGTGTGGAAGTCGAGGGTTTTCACAATGTCATCGTAGATAGAGCGGAAAGGACAGAGAGAAACTAACAATAACACAACACCGGTATGCAACGAGTGCTGAGGGACTTCCGACGGAATCCACGAGTAGGAAGGTATGGGCCTGGAACCATTGTGGGATTGAATTGCTGGATCAACGGATCAATGGATCACTGGACCACCACGCCGAAAGTGAAGATATCCCTTTTTGGAAACCTCGGTAACACACAACAGACACAGCAGACACAGAGAACCTGCTGGTTTGGATGCACTGAACAGAGCAAAGGCCGGTCGAACCCGAGAAAGTCGTGGGCAATAGCGGGTCTCACCATGGTCATCCTCATAGCGGTGTATCGCCTCGCTGAACACGTACCTCGTACCTGTATGGACCATATCCGAGGACATATCCGTGTCTTGTGGGAGAGAGTGATCCCTTCATCCCGTGTATATTTCCCGAGCGTAATCCAAACCATGTCGACTGCTCACTGGCTCCTAACAAGCAAGAGGTCAGAGGTCAGAGGTCAGCCGTGATCTTCAGCCCTCTCGAACCGTGACTCGACCAACAAGAGGTCTTGGCTTTTGGGATCATCCGGCACATTGGGGGGCCGTGCCAGCACACCGGCAGGCGGGTGATGCGACAAATCAACAAAGTTTCAAGGGAGCTAGGTGAAGGAGGGGGGGAGGTTTTGGCAAAGTCAGCAGAGATGTAGCTCGGCATCGTTGGCGTGGGTATGGACGTGGACGTGGACATGCACATGGCATGGCATGGCAAGGCATGGTATCCCGTAGGTACTCGTCGCTTGCGGATGAGATGGCTGATAGGACCAGCCGCGACAGCTCAGTGCTCACCGATGCAGTGGCACCAGGCCAGTCAAGAGGTCTTGTCTCGAGTCTTGGGGACGGCCTTGGAGGATCAGATCCAGCCAGCGACTCTGGCACTCGGGTCCATTGGGCCGAAGGGCGTGGACGTGCAACCTGACCCAAATTGTCGGTGCCTGGTGCCTTGTGCCTTGTATGTTGGGATATCATGTAAGGCTCACAGGGCGCCAGGACATCAAAAGGAGAATACAAAAAGGGTTCGTGTAAACCTAGAACGAACACGAATGAGGACTCCCGACTCCACCTCAAATGTTCCGGGTCCTCAGATCAAGAGTGAGTGAGTGTGCTGTCTTGAAGTAATTAGTGGAGGTGGCGCAGGGTAAGAAAAGGGGGGGGGGAGGAGTATTTGACACCTTCCGTGGTCAGCCTCGGTTTCCCAAGAGGGTGATTGCTTGCTTGGGACTTGGGTAAAGGGGGATGGATTGGGTTGGAGCTTCGCCTGCTGACGGTCAGGCCTTTCTTGGACAACTCCCTACGACCACTGACAAGGCTTGAGGCTCAGGGGACTCACTCGCTGAGTAGTTTGGTAAGCAAGTTTCTCGTGGTGGCTAGTGATTGGATCTCGTATACGAAGGGGTGGTGGGGGTTGGATGCGTGGACGGATGGCTGCCCGCCCCTATGCGACCAGAGTCAGAGCAACATCTTCGCCTCGGCAGACCCTTCATCCGTCAGCTTCGTCCGTAACGAATTGCTAGTCCCTGGTTGCTGGGGGAGACGAAAGGAGTAGTCAGCTTCCTCCCCGTACCTATTTGTATAGAGGAGGAAGGGCATTGACCACAAGGTCAGGGACTTGGGTGGAAGACCGCCAGCAAAGCGGCTGCTCTCAGACTGATATGTCAGCAGCTGGGCCAGTAGTGAACGATCAGACACCGACTAAGAGTGATCAGAGGTACACGCACGGCGTTAAGACGGCGAAAACCGAAGATTGGGGTTCTTGGATCTTAGGCCCGACATGCCAACCCCGTCTCACTTCGTGATAGGGCTGAACGAAGACATCAGCCAAAAGTTCAAACCAACAAACGACAACAAGCCGGAATTCGATCCGCCTCGCTCGGAGAGATATCGTTTGAACGATTGTTGTAAAGATTCCGGTGTGCTTTTCCTGGCGTGCCTGGCGTGCCTGGCGTTACCGTTGTTGGCGTCGTCGAACCAAAAGTTGAGTCAGCAGCCGCGGAATGTTTTTGTCCAATGGAATTTGTCAGTTGAGCAATTGCGCGGTTAAACTTTGGTCAGATTCCATACTCAGACACACACGGTACACACACTCAGTCCTTTGGCCATGTGGTAGGACCACTTGGCATCTTCGACTCGGATACTTTTTTTCCCACATGGTTTATCGTGGTAGGAGGTAGTATCGCCCATCTCCACGGACGCGGGATGTGCTGGAACTATGGCGGGTACTGAACCCAATTCACCCCGGCGGCTCATCTCATATCATAGTAGCCAGATACCCTTTCGTGACTCACCAGCGGCCGCAAGCTGCACACTGAATGCTACCCCGCTGTGAGATGACAGCATGCTCGGACCAGGCGAAGCGCCTCTGACCTTCAGGGATCGTACGGTGTGTGAATATCTTCCTCAATCTGTGAGACGAGGCAGATAGGTGGCGAAGATTCTTGACCTCTTACCACAAGAAAACAAGGGGTCTAGACACAGCCCATTATCAGGCAGGCAGGCAGGATATCAGAGGCAGGTTAGCCAAGCGAGTTTGCGGGGAAGTACCGTCGTAAGTTAGCAGAACCAAGACATCAGGCCATATTCGCACAAAAACACAAAAATATTGTTGTTCTCTTTTGGGTAACTGGGAATTGGAATCAGAAAGCGTATTGATGAGGGGTCTAACTCGCTTGGGGGCTGCTAAGAATAAGCACAGCCATCCTTGGTGGTGGCACCGGGAGGGAGTCAGCTAATTGGATACATGCAAAAGTACAATCGATCGTCTCTGTTAAGCACAGCCATGATGGCCCCTCTCTCATTCGTCAGGTATGACAAAGAACCATCAGCCCGCCCTTCGAGAAGATTGCCGCATTGGGTAACCAGACGCTGTTCCTAGCATCCAAGCCACTAGCTGAGTTACTAGTGGCTCTTGTAGCGGCTCTAGCGGCAGGCAGCCGTCATTAGTGCTGTAACCCACAATCTGGTATTCGTCTTCCCCTCCCCGCCTTCTGGCACACCAAAAGCCCGCCAAAAGGTGGCATTTGTGTATTTGTTCCCAAAACAGGTCAAATGTGCGAATAAGGATAATCCCTAAAATCCAATTTCTCGTGACTCACCGCATCTCCCGTCCAAAATCGCATGCAAGGGGTTGCTGACGAGGATCTTCCGTATTCGGCAACCGGTTGATCGGTGGGGTGAACACCAAGTGATGTCTTGGGAGAATAACGAGGATGCCTGAAATCCCCCTGTGCCAGATTTTTGCCCTCAGGCAGCCGTCAATTTGATTCGCCAACTTCGGGAGGTATTTTCTTAGCTTTTGTGCATTTCTGACAACAAAGGGCGATGAAACAAAAACACTCAATGCGCAACGGAAATTATTGCCATCCCTCGTCGGAGCCATGAAACATTCCCCGCCCTACAAAATGGTCACGAGGGCCAAATTGGATGGCAAACGAAGAGGTTTCGGAAACATGGTGACTTCGGAAGCGCGCACATTTTCTCGTCCGCACCTCCCGGTCCTTTACGATCACGAGGCTGAAGGAGTCGGGGTTTAGAGCCGCATCTTCACAATAATACTGGTGGGGAAGGAGGCAAACCAGGAAAGTGCCCTGAACAATATACCTCGACCTGTACAAGTATAGGCTCTAGCAAGGTGCATCTGGATGACCAGTGCGCACCGTCTCCTGCACAAACCGGCCGAAGTCGGTGAATTGTGCACCGTCGCGAAGCGGGGGAGTCCATGGAGATTGCGAAAGCCCGAGGGCGCGAGCCAAACAGGGACGAGAAGCAAGGACGAAACAACTCCATGGCTG